TGTTCTGGAACAGTGTTGTAAATACAACTTAACCACTGATTTCTAGTCGTGTCCTCTTTTGGAAGGCCAAACAAAGTAGTTTCGCTTTCACAACGAAACACACAGCAACTCCACGACATGGCGGCGGCGGCAACAGAGAGAATAAAAGTTGCGCCTTCTTTCTATGCGTGAATATTTGGGCGGAGTTATGCAAATCTTCCCACATCGTGACATAGACATGTGGGGGCGTGTTTAAACGAGGTGTTTTAGGTAGGCGTGGTTGACTCTTAACTTTTATAAAGAATATCTCTTTGGATTTGAGACTTTAGTCTTTGCAACTTTACAGATCTTCTTTATGCACCAAGAGCTTGTGACACTCCAAAGAGAAAGGAAAAATTGAAATCGTATCATATGACCCCTTTAAGTAAAGATCATGGTCCATGAAATTATGTTGTAAATTTCCTACTGTAAATATATCAAAACGTAATTTTTTATTAGTAATATGTATTACTAAGAACTTCATTTGGACAACTTTAAAGGCGATGTTCTCAATATTTGGATTTTTTTTTGCACCCTCAGATTCCAGATTTTCAAATAGTTGCATCTCGGCCAAATATTGTCCTATCCTATCCTTATTTTATTCAGCTTTCAGATGATGTATAAATCTCAATTTCGGAACAATTGACCCTTATGACTGGTTTTGTGGTGCAGGGTCACATATTACTTCAGCTAAAGTATTCGTATCAGTACTGGAGGCCTTTTGCCCTGACGAGCCTTTTATGATGAGCTGAATGTATGTTTTGTTTTTTTGTGCAAGATGGGAGTAGTAGAAAACACATTGTCTTCAAGGTGTACCTGTCCCCTATCATTATTTGAGTTTGCTCAGTCATTTCACATATGGGTCAGATAGTCACTTGCATCTTTAACACAGCCAAGTTTAGTCATCTCTAACCAGGCTCTGTGTTCACTCTAAAAATGTGGGGGTGTGTTAGAACGAGCCGTTTTAGGTAGGTGTGGTTGAATCTTAACTTTTATAAAGAATATCTCTTTGGATTTGAGACTTTAGTCTTTGCAACTTTACAGATCTTCTTTATGCACCAAGAGCTTGTGACACTCCAAAGAGAAAAGAAAAATTGAAATCGTATCATATGACCCCTTTAAGTAAAGATCATGTTCCATGAAGTTATGTTGCAAATTTCCTACTGTAAATATATCAAAACGTAATTTTTTATTAGTAATATGTATTACTAAGAACTTCATTTGGACAACTTTAAAGGCGATGTTCTCAATATTTGGATTTTTTTTTGCACCCTCAGATTCCAGATTTTCAAATAGTTGCATCTCGGCCAAATATTGTCCTATCCTATCCTTATTTTATTCAGCTTTCAGATGATGTATAAATCTCAATTTCGGAACAATTGACCCTTATGACTGGTTTTGTGGTGCAGGGTCACATATTACTTCAGCTAAAGTATTCGTATCAGTACTGGAGGCCTTTTGCCCTGACGAGCCTTTTATGATGAGCTGAATGTATGTTTTGTTTTTTTGTGCAAGATGGGAGTAGTAGAAAACACATTGTCTTCAAGGTGTACCTGTCCCCTATCATTATTTGAGTTTGCTCAGTCATTTCACATATGGGTCAGATAGTCACTTGCATCTTTAACACAGCCAAGTTTAGTCATCTCTAACCAGGCTCTGTGTTCACTCTAAAATTTGTGTACCACATAAAAATGAGTACAAAAATGTGCCCCTAGAATCAAAGGTGGCTCTGACACTGCTTTGCTTCTCTGTACAGGAAAATGAAATGCAGCATCAGATCAGAACGTATTCATCAGTACGTGAGACAACACAATAGATGCAAGAATGAATGAAGCTATAACTGAACTCACAGTCTGTCCTGAAGTTCTGGTGTGTCTGGCATGGTACCAAGTTGGAAAAGCATGCTCTTGATTTGACCAGCTATGCACAGACAAATATGAGACATTGTAACTTTAAAATATGAGAAAAGACAAAAATATTCAAATTGTGTTTACTTAAGAACTTCTCTTCTCTTCAAGTGTGAGTTTCTATGTAAAACATATCTACTCACTGTTTAGTGTGATTTTCTGGATGTTTGAGCTGCATGTCTGAGTGAGGTTGTTGAAATCTCTCGGCTGTGAGTGACTGCTGTCCATCATTCTGTAAGACATGATGACTAACAAAACAACACAGCTGTTTACATCAGATGTCATTCATTATATCATATTCACAAATTATAACAGATAATTATATTACAGGTTGATATTTAAAGATACAAATGTAAACCATTGATAAAACTGAGCAAATCTAAAAATGTACTGCGTAACTTACTCAATGCAATAAGACATTGAGCAGGCCCTTCGCCTGATAACATAATTATTACTATATTTAATTTCATGTTGTCATCTGAAATGATTCAACAATGCTTGCAGTAATGTCACCGACATGGGAAACTGTTTCAAAAAAAGAAACTGGGAATGAATCGCATACCTGAGATGCTCAGATGCGGCAACGCACTGCTCTTCTCTCACAGAAATAGAGTAAACCGATAGAATGGCAAAAAAACACATTAACGTTGACATCGAGTGGGCGGGGCTTATTGAGCCACTTCTAGGGGTCTAAGAATACAATTTCTTATACTTTTTTATTTTCTCTTTATTTATGCGGTTTAATGTTTATAAGTGTCGATATGATTGTGTAAATTACTGACTAGACCCTTGATAAAAAAAACACAAGCGCGTCTTTGTCAAATGATACTTGTTACATTTCTCAGCGCTTTTGAGGGCGTCCAATCAAAGTCGTTTGTGATTACAGAATAGGAGTAGAACGGTGTATTAAATGATTGCATACAGTTTTGGTGTCCGATTTTTGTTTATATGTCAGGGACCAGTCACTGGAAAAAATAAATGTAAAACAGTACAGGTTTGCAAATTTCTCCAATAAGACAAAACCCTTTCTAAATGGCAATATATGGTTCAAAGAAGCGTTCTGCTTTTTGAGCCACAGTGCGCCCTCTGGAAGAAGAACATGGTTTTGTCTGCTATTAGACATTAATATTTTCCAACTAATGTGTACTTTTGAAGGATGCCTGGATTCACATTAGACACAGTTCATGTGCGTCACACTCATTTCTCCTCTTTTCCAATGAATTTTAATTATTATTCATTAATGTATTTATTTATTTTTAGGTTCCAGGTCTTCGTCTTCTCTGCACTAATAATAATAATAATAAAAAAATAATACTAGCCTAATAAAAAAAAATAGTATATTAAGTAATTTTGCACCCTCAGATTCCAGATTTTCAAATAGTTGCATCTCGGCCAAATATTGTCCTATCCTATCCTTATTTTATTCAGCTTTCAGATGATGTATAAATCTCAATTTCGGAAAAATTGACCCTTATGACTGGTTTTGTGGTCCAGGGTCACATATTACTTCAGCTAAAGTATTCGTATCAGTACTGGAGGCCTTTTGCCCTGACGAGCCTTTTATGATGAGCTGAATGTATGTTTTGTTTTTTTGTGCAAGATGGGAGTAGTAGAAAACACATTGTCTTCAAGGTGTACCTGTCCCCTATCATTATTTGAGTTTGCTCAGTCATTTCACATATGGGTCAGATAGTCACTTGCATCTTTAACACAGCCAAGTTTAGTCATCTCTAACCAGGCTCTGTGTTCACTCTAAAATTTGTGTACCACATAAAAATGAGTACAAAAATGTGCCCCTAGAATCAAAGGTGGCTCTGACACTGCTTTGCTTCTCTGTACAGGAAAATGAAATGCAGCATCAGATCAGAACGTATTCATCAGTACGTGAGACAACACAATAGATGCAAGAATGAATGAAGCTATAACTGAACTCACAGTCTGTCCTGAAGTTCTGGTGTGTCTGGCATGGTACCAAGTTGGAAAAGCATGCTCTTGATTTGACCAGCTATGCACAGACAAATATGAGACATTATAACTTTAAAATATGAGAAAAGACAAATTGTGTTTACTTAAGAACTTCTCTTCTCTTCAAGTGTGAGTTTCTATGTAAAACATATCTACTCACTGTTTAGTGTGATTTTCTGGATGTTTGAGCTGCATGTCTGAGTGAGGTTGTTGAAATCTCTCGGCTGTGAGTGACTGCTGTCCATCATTCTGTAAGACATGATGACTAACAAAACAACACAGCTGTTTACATCAGATGTCATTCATTATATCATATTCACAAATTATAACAGATAATTATATTACAGGTTGATATTTAAAGATACAAATGTAAACCATTGATAAAACTGAGCAAATCTAAAAATGTACTGCGTAACTTACTCAATGCAATAAGACATTGAGCAGGCCCTTCGCCTGATAACATAATTATTACTATATTTAATTTCATGTTGTCATCTGAAATGATTCAACAATGCTTGCAGTAATGTCACCGACATGGGAAACTGTTTCAAAAAAAGAAACTGGGAATGAATCGCATACCTGAGATGCTCAGATGCGGCAACGCACTGCTCTTCTCTCACAGAAATAGAGTAAACCGATAGAATGGCAAAAAAACACATTAACGTTGACATCGAGTGGGCGGGGCTTATTGAGCCACTTCTAGGGGTCTAAGAATACAATTTCTTATACTTTTTTATTTTCTCTTTATTTATGCGGTTTAATGTTTATAAGTGTCGATATGATTGTGTAAATTACTGACTAGACCCTTGATAAAAAAAACACAAGCGCGTCTTTGTCAAATGATACTTGTTACATTTCTCAGCGCTTTTGAGGGCGTCCAATCAAAGTCGTTTGTGATTACAGAATAGGAGTAGAACGGTGTATTAAATGATTGCATACAGTTTTGGTGTCCGATTTTTGTTTATATGTCAGGGACCAGTCACTGGAAAAAATAAATGTAAAACAGTACAGGTTTGCAAATTTCTCCAATAAGACAAAACCCTTTCTAAATGGCAATATATGGTTCAAAGAAGCGTTCTGCTTTTTGAGCCACAGTGCGCCCTCTGGAAGAAGAACATGGTTTTGTCTGCTATTAGACATTAATATTTTCCAACTAATGTGTACTTTTGAAGGATGCCTGGATTCACATTAGACACAGTTCATGTGCGTCACACTCATTTCTCCTCTTTTCCAATGAATTTTAATTATTATTCATTAATGTATTTATTTATTTTTAGGTTCCAGGTCTTCGTCTTCTCTGCACTAATAATAATAATAATAAAAAAATAATACTAGCCTAATAAAAAAAAATAGTATATTAAGTAAGGCCTATTATTTAAGTTGTGGTTAGTCACTTGCATCTTTAACACAGCCAAGTTTAGTCATCTCTAACCAGGCTCTGTGTTCACTCTAAAATTTGTGTACCACATAAAAATGAGTACAAAAATGTGCCCCTAGAATCAAAGGTGGCTCTGACACTGCTTTGCTTCTCTGTACAGGAAAATGAAATGCAGCATCAGATCAGAACGTATTCATCAGTACGTGAGACAACACAATAGATGCAAGAATGAATGAAGCTATAACTGAACTCACAGTCTGTCCTGAAGTTCTGGTGTGTCTGGCATGGTACCAAGTTGGAAAAGCATGCTCTTGATTTGACCAGCTATGCACAGACAAATATGAGACATTATAACTTTAAAATATGAGAAAAGACAAATTGTGTTTACTTAAGAACTTCTCTTCTCTTCAAGTGTGAGTTTCTATGTAAAACATATCTACTCACTGTTTAGTGTGATTTTCTGGATGTTTGAGCTGCATGTCTGAGTGAGGTTGTTGAAATCTCTCGGCTGTGAGTGACTGCTGTCCATCATTCTGTAAGACATGATGACTAACAAAACAACACAGCTGTTTACATCAGATGTCATTCATTATATCATATTCACAAATTATAACAGATAATTATATTACAGGTTGATATTTAAAGATACAAATGTAAACCATTGATAAAACTGAGCAAATCTAAAAATGTACTGCGTAACTTACTCAATGCAATAAGACATTGAGCAGGCCCTTCGCCTGATAACATAATTATTACTATATTTAATTTCATGTTGTCATCTGAAATGATTCAACAATGCTTGCAGTAATGTCACCGACATGGGAAACTGTTTCAAAAAAAGAAACTGGGAATGAATCGCATACCTGAGATGCTCAGATGCGGCAACGCACTGCTCTTCTCTCACAGAAATAGAGTAAACCGATAGAATGGCAAAAAAACACATTAACGTTGACATCGAGTGGGCGGGGCTTATTGAGCCACTTCTAGGGGTCTAAGAATACAATTTCTTATACTTTTTTATTTTCTCTTTATTTATGCGGTTTAATGTTTATAAGTGTCGATATGATTGTGTAAATTACTGACTAGACCCTTGATAAAAAAAACACAAGCGCGTCTTTGTCAAATGATACTTGTTACATTTCTCAGCGCTTTTGAGGGCGTCCAATCAAAGTCGTTTGTGATTACAGAATAGGAGTAGAACGGTGTATTAAATGATTGCATACAGTTTTGGTGTCCGATTTTTGTTTATATGTCAGGGACCAGTCACTGGAAAAAATAAATGTAAAACAGTACAGGTTTGCAAATTTCTCCAATAAGACAAAACCCTTTCTAAATGGCAATATATGGTTCAAAGAAGCGTTCTGCTTTTTGAGCCACAGTGCGCCCTCTGGAACAAGAACATGGTTTTGTCTGCTATTAGACATTAATATTGTCCACCTAATGTGTACTTTTGAAGGATGCCTGGATTCACATTAGACACAGTTCATGTGCGTCACACTCATTTCTCCTCTTTTCCAATGAATTTTAATTATTATTCATTAATGTATTTATTTATTTTTAGGTTCCAGGTCTTCGTCTTCTCTGCACTAATAATAATAATAATAAAAAAATAATACTAGCCTAATAAAAAAAAATAGTATATTAAGTAAGGCCTATTATTTAAGTTGTGGTTTATCCTAACATTGCGCGAATGGAAGGGTTTTCTTTTGGAGAAAATAAGCTCTTTGGCAGCAAGATTCCTGTCTCATGACTTTTATAGGATAATAGATCTCACACACAAGCCTCATCACATGACTTCAGTTACACTGAGGCCTCTTACAGAGTGCTTGTGCTGTGGGAAAAAAAAGAGAGCAATAATTTAAAAAGCAATTCGTTTTTTAGTGTTTTAAAGAAACTCAAAAGACATGCTATAAAGGCAGGTTATTGTATTAGGCTATTCGTTTTGTTGGTTGGATTTTGCATTCCTTTGCAGTTCTCAAGAAGAGGATTGTTCTTATTTCCTGCTTTTATTGCTCTCACTTCATATATTGCGTAAATTGGACTGTCGCCTCTGGCAAATTCTTACCAGAAAGATGATCATTGTAACTAACCTGAGTTTATTTAATATAGATTATATCTGTGTTAATTAGTAGCCTAATAGATACCCTGTTGCAACAACAAAATTTACATTTACCTTCATGTGCTTTTTAAAAATTAATTACATAAAAAAAAAATTATTCAAGGACAAGTTAATGCATTTTTATAAATCACAAAATGTGGGGTTAGTCTAGAACTCTGCCTCGGATCCTGATCCTCAAGCTAGGGAGACCAGTCCGCGTTTGAAGCTAGGGCTCTTTTTAGGCCTATGTTAAAGGGCTCATATGTCGTTGCTAAAAAAGAACATTATTTTGTGTATTTGGTGTAATGCAATGTGTTTATGCGGTTTAAGGTTCAAAAAACACATTATTTTCCATATAATGTACATTATTGTTTCTCCTCTATGCCCCGCCTTTCTGAAACGCGTCGATTTTTACAAAGCTCATCGTTCTGGAAAAGCGAGGTGTGCTGTGATTGGCCAGCTATCCAGTGCGTTGTGATTGGCTGAATACCTCAAGCATGTGACGGAAATGTTACGCCCCTCACCATACTGTGATGCCGTCTCCCAGCAGGACGAGACAAAACCAATAAAACCCATTACAAACGAGGCATTTGTTACATCCAGTGGGGACATAATTACTGATTACAATGACTTATACTGTCTTTTTACGTGTTGCGTATCGCGCCGCGTAAACATAAAACCATGTCTGCATTTGTGATCTGAGAAATGACAAACAACAAGCGCTACTCTACACTGCTCAAAACTCACGTTTGAATTTGATCAGTGGCAAATTATTTAAATATAAAAAACATACTTACAGGCTGTGAGTCAGAAGCACCAGACTGTCCTTGCAAAGTTGGAACTGCCCCACTTTATAGAAACAGCCTTTGTGCCACAGACGCATTGTAGGCTACTGGTTCAGGAAACAGTCCTCATCCTCCATAAAATGCGCAGCACACATCTGAATATTTGAGTTGAACTGTTCTGGAACAGTGTTGTAAATACAACTTAACCACTGATTTCTAGTTGTGTCCTCTTTTGGAAGGCCAAACAAAGTAGTTTCGCTTTCACAACAAAACACACAGCGACTCCACGACATGGCAGCGGCGGCAACAGCAAGAATTAAAGTTACGTCTTCTTTTTTTGCCATTTAGGCGGCGTTATGCAAATCTTCCCACATCGTGAGGTAGACATGTGGGGGTGTGTCAGAACGAGCCGTTTTAGGTAGGAGTGGTTGACTCTTAACTTTTATAAAGAATATCTCTTTGGATTTGAGACTTTAGTCTTTGCAACTTTACAGATCTTCTTTATGCACCAAGAGCTTGTAACACTCCAAAGAGAAAGGAAAAATTGAAATCGCATCATATGACCCCTTTAAAAAACTGGACGCAACTTTTAATAATATAGCCAGAAGAGGGCGCTGTCACTTCAAGTCACTCATACTCAATAACCTCCTAAAGCTAGCTTAACCACTGAATCTCGACCAGATCGCGGCAAAAGTCATCACCATGTCATCATTATGAGTCTCGAAATATGCACGTTTTAGCTTTCTTTTATCATAAGTACTTGTATTGTGCATTGATCATTGTTTATGTGCATAAAAGCATACATTTAATCTTTTAATCGCATAAAGCGTCCATGTCTCTTTTGGAGACTTGAATTAAATCTTGAACATTTTATTTGTGTGGACTTCAAATGGATGGACAAAAAGAGAGTATTAAAAATATCTTTTTTAATAAGTTTTGTAGGTTTGGACTGAAACGACATGAGGATGAGTAAAAGATGACATAATGTTCATTTTTGGGGGAACTCCTTAAATATCAACCTGTTTTAAGTATGTAGGCCAGCGTTGTTACCTATTAATGAGCATAATCACTATTAAAACTGATAATAACGCTAATATATGATACCATTCCTCAATTAAAAGGGGGCTTAACAAGGCTATGGATTTGTAATGTGTATTGTCTTTAAGGACTATATTCTTGTTGCTTAATTTAATAACTTTTTGCTTTCATTTCCTTGAAGGTATTTAAAGGAAATTTAATGCAACCTTGGAGAAGTTACAACTGCATTGAAGGCCCAAGTGCAACACTGAATGTACCCACTGGAGAGCGGTATGAACATAAGCTAGGCTACCTCTTCTATTAAAATACATACCGACACATAAGAATTGTTATAAACTAAAATAATATATATATATATATATTCCCTTGAATTTATTTTCTGGGAATATGTTATCTGAAAGTGTCTATTTAAATGTGTTGGTTTGTCTGTTTATTTTTCAGTGACCCTAAAGCAAAGGAGTTGCTGAATCCAATTACAGGTCTGACCTGTTCACAAGATATGTCCAGGTAAAAGCAAGATAATCAGAATCAATATACAAATGAGGGTCAATATATTGAGAGCCAAACCTTTAACACTATCTATAATCCTAAACTAAGCTCCTGAATCTGACACTAAACGAGTTTTATGTGTGAAGAGTAAACGCTAGGCTTTAACATTGTGCTGCACAGACCCCATGTGCCATTTTCCCAAGAGTCTCCTGTATATTACATAAAAATGCCAATTTTTTTTCAATTTTAAAACACTGTGGTATTTCACAGATGTTGTTATAGTCATGCCTGATTTCAGACTGATTTATTACAATGATTTTTAATTCAGTTCTATTCTGATCTTAAGTGTGCATGTGTAAGATCAGCAATAACTAATTGAGTCATGTATTTCTTGTACCAGATATTGTTCTTTGTAGATTTGTAGTTATAGAGTAGCACTGTAGTCATCATAGAACAATGCATTTTAGTTTAGTATTACTTTTAGCAATTTAATTGCACATACATACTGTATATCATAGTTGGCATAGTGTATTATTTAAAAGACTTGAGTTTGTGTGCCATGTGTTGCCATCATAACCATTCCTTACTAAAATGGTGTGCTATTCTTTAAATGTAAAAACATAATTTCAAGAAGTGCCAGTATTTGAAGAAATGTCACTGTTAAATTCTCTTTAAAATAAACGACTTGATCTGTCATGACTGTAAAGTCAAGTCATAGATATATCTTATTACACCTACAATAAAGTTTGAATCTAACCAAATCGTGCATTTACTTGATCAAAAAAATACAGCAAAAACCGTACTATTGTGAAATCTTGTTATAGAAACTGTTGTCTATTATAAACTGTAATTTATTCCTGTGATGCAAAGCTGAATTTTCAGCATCATTACTCCAGTCTTCAGTGCCACATGATCCTTCAGAAATCATTCTAATATGCTGATTTGCTGCTCAAGATTATTATTATCAATGTTGAAAACAGTTGTGCTGCTTTATATTTGGATCCTTCAGAAATCATTCTAATATGCTGATTTGCTGCTCAAGATTATTATTATCAACAGTTGTGCTGCTTTATATTTTTGTGAAAACGTAATACGTTTTTGATGAAAATAAAAAATAAAAAAAGAACAGCATTTATTTGAAATAGCATTTTTTGGTAACATTGTAAAAGTCTTGTCACTTTTGGTCGATTTAATGCATCCTTGCTGAATAAAAGTATTAATTATTGAAAAGAAGAAAACTAAACAAATCTTAGTGACTCCAAAGTTTGAATGATAGTGTTTTAAAAGTATTATTTTATCTTGAGATTGCATAATGTTATATTATATAAGAATGTAATATTTGTAATATTAGTAACACCTAATTGTCAGGTAATATGTTGAAAAACGTGAAAATTCGCTTTTTAAAAGGGACAATTTCACCTAAGGTGGTTGTGTATATTATTCGAGGTTGAGGTTCCTTTTTCAGAGGATCATAAGATCCAGCGTAAGAAACATTTGAAGGATTATTTTACAT